AGAATGAATAAAATTATAAAGAAAATAATTAATTAAAAATATTAATAATCTAAATTTGTAATTGTGATACACATAGTGATCATCTGAGTAACAAGATGTTAAATCTAGATATATTAAATATATAATGATTATTTGTATATCCAGAGTGAAAATAATCTTCTTAAAAATATAATACAAAGCTAATCTGTTATATAGATAGTGCAAAATAAAGATTTAAACTAAAAGAGATCTAAAGAAAGATAACCTAATCAAAATTATTATAATAATAATTTGATTTATAACTTATTTTAACTAATAAAAATATAAATAATTAAGTAATTTAATTAATATTTCTACTAAAATCTGATAATTTATATATTTTAATAATTTTAAAAAAAATTTTATAAATATAGTAATTATTATATTAATAATTATTTTAATTTTCTATTATAATACTTTTTATATTATTATAAATATATAATATTATATTATTTATTATTAGATAATTTCTAATATTTTTGAAGTAAATATATATAATATTTTCATTATATTTCAATAATAAAATATTCAAAATTCATAAAAATTTGCAAATCTATTCTTTAGAATATTATAAATAAAATTTTCTAATAGTATAAGACATATTAGCACAATAAATTTTTGCAAAATTTTACATCAAATATAATAAATTACATATTTATATGAAATAATTTTGAAAAAGAAATTATTTAAAAATATTTTTAATAAGTAATTTTGAAAATACTTTTGTAAAAATATATTTTAAGATATAAAGAATATATTTGTAAGTTTAAAAAAATTTTTTATTATATATTTATTTAATAAATATCAGTTAAAAAAAGGCTTTATTTTAATAATTTTTATAAGAAATAATAGTAAAATATAGTAAAATGGATTTTTACTATGATTTATTATAAAATTTATCAAAATAAAGTCTTTTTAACTGGTGTTTATTAAATAAATATGCAATAAAAATTTTTTTAAACTTATAAATATATTCTTTATATGGACTGATGCAAAAAGATTAGTATATTAATATAAAATTAATAATTACTTCTAATAAAAATTATTCAAATTTTAACTAATCTTTATAATTTTTTTATATTAAATAAAGAATAATCTAAATTAACTTTTTATACTATTTTAATTATTTTATTATACTTTAATTTAATAATAAATGAAGCATTACTTTACTAAGAAAACTAAAATAAAATTATTTTTTTTAAAAAAAAGTCATTTTAAATATTATCACCATCAATTTGCAAGATTAGAACTTTAAACTATGCAAGCGGATTGTCCTAGATTTGATAATATATAATAAAAAATTTTACATTTAAATAAATCCTGATACCTAATAACTTAATTAAATAAGACAGAATTAAAATTTTATTCTGAAAAAATAATCTATTAATATTAATCTGATATACCAATCTTTTTGCACCGGACCAAATATTTTTGCAAAAAATATTTTTAAAGAACATGCATGTCGTAATGCATTTCAAATAAACGTGTATTCATTGCTTGCTTACCTTGTAAAAGTACGCTTGGAAGATTTCTCCATTATCAGCTTCAGGATTTTGTACTGAACGGCAAATGCTTTATATTCGTTTGCGTCCATGTCAAGTTATGAGAAGGAAAGAAAAGAACGTGTAGCTGCGCGTTTATATCTTGCTGCGCCCATGGGAGCTATATCACGTTGCGGGAACAATCACATTGATCGTCCGATATACTTACAGAAATAAATTATGGTCTGTCGTTATTGTATGTATCTTTGATCATTTTTCGCAGTAAATTATAGATGTTGGGAATTTTTGAACCGTCGTGATTGAAATGTCGCGTCCGGATACTGTGTGGTTCGGAATTTCGTTAATTATGTTTATCGGAACCATATATTAAAGTGGATTTCAAATTCTATTCGACAATTTATGTTTAGAATTTATCAAGTTCAAATGTCACACCATTATTAATCATCAATGGCAAAAACGAGAGTAAGTGCAAATAATGAGGTAAACATAATTTAGTTAAATCTTTTAATCAAAGCAGAAATTCAACCAATTTACTATCGCTATAGAAAACGAATACAGCACAGCATGGCAAAAAAAAGGTTATGGATCTACCTTTGTGTGAGATTCAATGCTAGAAAACGGAAAAAACCAATTTCATCTAGTCGAAACTTTGCGTTCTGTCCCTTGAGAACAATAAAATACTACCCGCGTAGTAATACAATTCATTGTTAAATGAGCAATCTATGCAGTTTTTGCTCTCGGAATTGAAGTTGCGTTATGATAGCGTGCATGGTTGTTAATTTTAACAAAAAATAGTTCCGTAAAATGTATTCAATTAACGATGTTCCAGATGAAACTTTAACTTTTGGTGTTTATCAAACGTACATAATAATTTATTATTCTTTTCATCGATAAGTTTCCTTTATCTACGTTTATATTAAAAACTTATTTAAAATAAAAGGTTCCCAAATTCACCCGGTATCGCCTTTGTCGCTTTGGTTGAGTGCTGATGTCACCGAAAACGGTACAGCTGGTGTAAATTTACCGAAACTTATTATGTCGTACGCAGACTATTTCGACGATAATGAAAAAGGAAGATATAAAGGCTAGCCAAACTTTCGATACTAAACTTGGAACAACTTGGGAACTAATCGAGAAGGTAAAAAAAAATTTTAATTATATTTTGTTATGCCCATATCAAAATTCATTTCGTCGTGTTATTGACGTCAAATTATTTTATAGAATGGAGTCTCACAAAACATGTTGGTTCTTCAAATGCTGATAATTTAATTGTCATTAAGAACTCTTCAAAAACAACCGCCTCTTTGGGAATTGGTATGTCCGGAAAGCTATCTGCTATCAAGGTATAATATTATCGTATAACCTTATTGTTTAATTACTAAATAAAATTCATGCATTCATTTATTGAGAAAAGTATATGTTGATTCCGTTGCAGCTTTCAAAATTACCCCCAACCGTTTATGTTAATGTTTTCATTTGTAATTTTAATGTTATTAACTAATTTATTTGCACGCTTAACTTTCTTGCTTTTAATTACCAGGTTATTGTTGCGTAAGTATTTTCTATTTTATTTCTGTATATTTTCTTTGTGAATTGAAGCGTAACGAGTTTTTAATATAATAGCAATACAAAAATTGTGTTCGACACAATAATTCTTAAAGGACACGTGACATGAACATGAAAAGTTAAACTAGCCAATCATTTATACTGAATAATATTTCATATCTTGCGATTTGATTGGTATATCCCTTAAAAATCACGATTTTACTATACGTAATCGTGAGAAAATTGAATAATACATTAACTATTATTAATGTTATTATTAATGTTATGATAAACAATAAACAAAACACGCCTAACGCGTAATTAATTAAAGCTTTGATAAGCAATAAACAAACAGGCATAAGATAAAATCAATATAAAAGAAACCACCCTCAAACAAAAAATTTATTTTACTTTTTTAAAATCCCTTTCATCTTTATAAACACTGACACTACGTAAATTTCTTATAAAGTAGCTTTTTGCTCTAATCGCGAAAAATACATATATTGGCTCTCGTTCTTGTCACCTTTATTGTATATAAATTCCTTGGCCTAGTCAGGTGGTTATCCATTTTACATCATCTTTTTCAAAGATGATTTTTATTCTGGATAGGGGGTTCGAGTCCCTCCTAGGTCTGGGTTGATCAAGCTTATAGATATATTCCTCCCTGGAGTAGTAGGTTCCTTCAGAGGGGTCTGTCGGGCTTGTCAACCTGCAGAGTCTTCGCTGTCGACTTTAAACTTTAGCGGGTTTTTCACTGGTTTTCCTTCGGGTCTTCCTTTGAATCATAAGGTCCTATAGATTTGGACTTTTCCGGATTCGGTTGTTCTGGGATTGTCATCGTCGGGTTGCTTATGAATGTTAATTCGTGGATGTTTCTGAATGAAATAATTTCATTCGGCCGTCACTTTAAGTGCAGCCCACATCCATTTGCGAGGGTGTTTTATGGTTAAGCCGTTGGCACCTTAAGCGGATCCTCTGTCTTTACCAGTGCCTGCCCTAGTAGTTTAAAAGATGCATAAGTATTCCTGCTGTGCTTATAGTATCTCTATTTGGGTGTAAAGATTATGCTCTGCAAAACGGCCAACTATGTCTTCTCTGCAGACTATAAATGCAGCACCTGAGTACTCTCTGATGATCACTCACTTGAGACATGGAGAGTGATACAGCCAAAGGCAATGACGAGTGAAGCTAGCTCTAGTCTTTGAGCCATGCCGGCAGCCGGAACGCAAGGTATTCCTGGGTATCCTTACAATCTGGTAAATTTTGCCTATGTCTCATTTTTTTTGGGGTGTTGTTACTTGTTGGTCGGTCACTGTTCTTTGGAATATAATAAAAGGAAGGAAATAATATAATAATATAATAAAATAATATTGTAAATAATAATAATAATAAAGGGCATGTGATCCTTCGGTCTTCAAGTTCTGGGCATCCCCGTTCAGGGTCTGATATGGATAGTTCTTTCCTGTTTGGTCAGGGTGAACGGAGGTTCAATTCCTCCTCAGACGATGGGGTTATCATAACTCGAAACCGTAAATTTGATCTCGTTATTATCTGAAAACAATGACGACTTTAATACAAATTCGTTTTCCGAGAGACCGTCGTGTGTTGCTTATTAATTCAAATTATATTATTGCTTTTAATACAAGTTAACAAAAAAAAGAAACACATCTTCCGGACTTTATTATTAGCGCCGCCGTTATACGATCCACTAAATTTGTGGCAAATTCAGATGGGAGTCCAACTCTTGTTAGTTCCTCTTTATCGTTGATTGTGTGAATTTTTACACGTTCTCTATAGGATTTGATCCGGCCAGGGTAATTTCTTAATATCTTTTCCACCTTCCAATTTTTGAAAGACACTATCAACTTTACAAAGTTGTTATCGACAGGTTAATAAAAGAATGCATTAAAAGCGGAAGGCATTTCCAATGATTCCCTTTTGAAAAAATTACCAATGTTAGATGTCTTGAAGGCAATTCATAAAGCATCACTGTACTATTACGTGTCTCAAAACAAATTAATAAAAGAGGTAGAAATTGTTTATTTTGGAATAGATCATATAGATAATAACTAAAAACCCAACTACGAATGTAATACTTGATAGTAATGGGTTATCCAGAAAAATACTTTATGAGGGTCGTTATTATCTTCACATAAATATTAGTTCCAACTACAAAGAAGACCATTCACGTTGGATTATCAAAAATCTGACAAAATTTTACTCTGGAAATAATATTATTTCTTATTGATGCGTTCATTGCCGAATTTGGACTTACCAACCCAGCAGAAATTTACGAAGTACATGTACTTCCTTAGATGAGTCCAGAAGTACTAGGTGGAAAGCGGTTATGTACGAAATTGTAACTGGTGAACCAACATTTGATAGAAATCTCGTATTAGACATTTATAAAAGGAGTACGAGCAAATCTATTATTGAATGAACGGCATCCCGAATGCACGAAATCCCGAAAGCATACTAAAATTATCACGATTTCGTGATTTCGTACATTTGGGATTTCGTGCCATTTCGTTCGATCGAGATTTTGAATGATATCATCGTTATGCATGTATAACAATTTATATTGGTATGTATATAGTTATATATCGATATATACAGTATATCGTACGAATAAGATATATATCGATATGCATCTTCTTGAGATGATGCTAAATTACATGAAAGAAATAAGAAACTGGACTTTGATTCTTAGATAATTTCAAAATCTCTTTATACTTTGCATATTTCACAGACTTGCATTATCAAAATTTTCAAATTTTCTAAAGTACAATCCTTGAAGCACTATATAAATACTTTTCTTTCTTTTATATATTATTGTAAATTCTCAAAAATAAATTATTCTAATGATACTTGTAATCAAATTAATAGTAGCATAATATGCAAGAAGGTATAGAGTAATTCTTAGTTAATATTCATAAAGAAAAATTTGCCTTGTAAAATCAATTAATTATTTATCTGTTAAGTAAGATTCTTAGTATTACAATCAAATTTTATTTTTTTCAAACTGATATTTATAATTTCCAAATATTTTAATTGAAATTTTAATAATAATATTCCAAAAAGCATATGAGTTCTTATTCTTTATAACTAAAGAAGGATAAATTATGACTAATTTACTTCAATTAAATTCTTATAAGAGCAAATCATAGAAATTAATAATGTAGAAATTACATACTATAACAGCTTTTTTTATATTTTTAGTATTTAAAGTAATTTTTTGAAAAATTAAAATATATATAATTAAAACTTTAAATACTTCATGAATATTATAGGATTATATTTTGCATTAGTTTTTTTAAACTAAATTTCAGCTGTATTATTATTCCAATATATAAAAATCAAATATACTATATTACATAAAAATAAAGAAAAAATTCACAATGAATTTATTATTAAATGCAATATAACTTTTTTTACATAATATAACAAAAGTATTATAAAATTATTCATGATATAGTTCTAGTAATGATATAGTTCTAGTAAAAAGTAATGACAGTTAAATTTATTTAAAATTAGAATTGTTTTATATAATAATTTTATCTAAAATTTTATTTATTTTATTTACATAATATACAGTATATAATTAAAGTATTATATTTTATAAATATTAATATTTCATAAATATTAATATTTCATCTGTTTTTGTTTATTTTTTATTAATAATAATTCAATAATTTTGTTTTTTAAAATTAATAAGTAGATTTTCATTTATACATTTATTTTTATATCTTAAGTTATATATAATAATTTAAATAGTATTTTGAAAATAACTATAATTATATTAGCTAAATAACTTTAATTAATTATTCAAGACAGATTTCTTAATATATTTTTTGAATATTAAGCATTGTTTGTAAATATTCTAATTTAATACAATTGTAAATAATTTTTAATATTTCAAAAATTATCTTAGAAAATAGATATTTATGCATTAAGTAATATTGTTCAACTGATCAATTTACACTTATAACATAGATTTCAATGAAATAAATATTTTCTGTGATCTTTAATATTGATTTAATGGCTATCCTGCTATTACTTTCTGCCAGAATGTAGCTGATGAACATATACAGTGGTTTGAAAAAAAATTGGAATCAAAAATACACCCATTGTTTCACAATTATAGCACAAAATTTAAATTTTTATTTTTATTTTGAAGTTTAAAATCTTCGTATTACATGATAAAAATAAAAATCAATTATATCACCATTATTTGCAATCAACATCTTGACATTGAATTTACTAAATTCACTAAAATTTTTTTTGGAATCTTGTCCCACTCCTCCTTCATATAACATTTCAATTCTTGACAATTTTTTGGTTTACATTGCTCTACCTTTGTTTTAACGATACTTCATAAATTTTCTATAGAATTCAGGTCGGGACTATTTGCCGGCCAATCTATTAATACAGGAACATTATTTTGAAGAAATTCCTTTGCAACCCGGCTGGTATGTTTCGGATTGTTATCTTGTTGGAATATCTATTTACCTTTTAACATTTATTTGACTTCTGGAATATGTTTTTGAAGTGTTTCGATGTAATAGCTACCTGTCATAATCATTTGGAAACAAAATAAAGATGTTATTCCTTTGATACAGAATCCTCCCCATTTGACCTAGGCTGGATTGGTCTTTTGCCCTTGTGCCAATATAAAATTGTATTTCTGTATAGTTGAAAAGCAGTTTTGTCTATAGATAAAACCTTTTTCCAATTACAATTCAAATATTTTCGCGCCCATTCAACTCGTCGTTCCTTGTGTCGTGGTGTAAGCATTGGCGTGACTTTTGGTAAACTTTTTTTATATCCAATACTCATTAAATACTTCGAAATAGTTGAAAAATGAAGTTGTATTCCTTTTTCTAACAATATCTTTTAATGAAATAGAAAGATTTCAACGAATATATTGACATACCGCATTTGATACTTCGGGAGTTGTTTTTTTGGTCTGCCATTTCCACTTTTATAATTTACGTTTCCATTTTTTTTTAATTTTTGAACATTATAATAAAGGTTTGAGGTCGGAATCTTGGTAAGTTTATGTAACTCAGGCACCGAACGCACTCCGTTATTCCAATAATGTAGCAAACTTCTTGGTGTCTTTTATTAACTGAGGTCGACATCTAACTGGGCTATAACGTAACTAGTATTCAATTGGAAAGGTTACAAATCATTGATCACCGGTGACAAATTTCCAACTTTTTTTTCAAATCATCTCGAGTTTTACTATAACTGCTTGACGTGGTTTTCAACCCAAACTGGTATTCTCTTGGCACTATCTTCATTGGTGGTAACAAAATCAGAAGTGGAAGAGCTTGCATCAATTGATAAGCAATTTCTACATGTATTATCTGGCCGAATTATAAGTGCACGAAGAGGTTCTTGACTAACACCATCGATTTCACTAAGAAGTGGTATAATTGATATGAAATTTTGTTCCAAAAATCATCTAAATTATCAAATTCGATTTCATTTAAATTGATATTACAACAATAACGTTTTCATGATTATGATTTTCTTTTAGTTTTTTATGAACATGTTGTATCAATATGCGAAAGAATAGAATAGTTATTTATGTTCCCATTTAACTGAATGACTAGAAAACCGACATAATAAATTCCATTATCATAACGAAAATCTTCAGAAAACTCTTGCGCACGAGTATATGCAGTTCTTCGTTTATTAAAAAAGATCGTCATTTTGTTCATAAGATGGGATGTGATTCATTCAATAAAACATAATAAAAAATCACGTGCTTTATATAGGGTTATAATTATTTTATCATATTAAAACAAACGCATAAAGTCAAACGCATAAAATTAGCGCGTAATGATCATAAACAATAAAAATCACATCACATAATAAAACAAACGCATAAAGTCAAACGCATAAAATTAGCGCGTAATGATAATAAACAATAAAAATCAACGTGTGCAAGTACGTGACAATGACGCGCTGATTTTTTGTTTATGATGACTCACGATGATATTTATTGTTTATGATGGATTTTGTATATATAGGACAGGCATTCGTATTCTTTGTGTTCTCTCTAGTACCCCTAGAC